TCGTGAATAAGACAAAGATTGCAGTCGAGCTGAATCGAACCCAACGCCTCCGGATTTTAAAGCACACCTCTTAGACACTGTGACATCAAGCGACACGCCATTTAAAGGAGTATGTCTCGGCTAACTGCTCCAGAAGTACGATCAGATAAACTAGCGGAATAAAGTTAACTCTGTAGTCACTATGTATTACATCGGACGGCATACGAGCGTAGCGGTGCAGAGGAAAGCCTTAAATGCAAAGTCGTTGTTACCATTGTTTAAATGTTCGTTTGAAAATTTTCCACTAAGCCTGTTAATAATCTAAGAGAACTAATGCTTCCTCAGTCAAATAATCGAATTTAGAATCTGGAGTCTTTGCTTGATGCTCTTTGCTTCATTTCACAGACAAACTGTAATTTGCTGGTTTTATTAAATATCGCTTCACACACCTTTGGGAAGTAGCAGAACCACGAATTTCGGAGTTCCATCTGTTGCTGAAAATACGGAGATAGCCGCCGCTGTCTGATCGTTGAGTTGTCGCTGCAAAATAGATCGAAATAATTCAGTGTAAGATGAACATGCACATTAAACAAATGTTTAACCATGACAATCATATAAGCAACGTACTCATCGCCAAACAGCTAAATCAAAGAGAAACATCATTCGATCAAGGATGAGGGTTTAAGACCTTGCTGTACATTTTTAATCGCCCTTTCACCGTTAGTCTGTCGTTGTAGATGTGATTAATTTTTATGTTGGAGAAGGAGAACTAATACAGGGCATAAAAATATTTCCAGTGCTTTTTCTAGAAATCAGAGCACTTTCCGTATTGTCAAAAACGCTCCATCACGTAAACCTACGCTTACATTCCATCGTTTACAGTTCCAATGCAATCAATCAATCTAAACGTAAGCTTCAAGACCTATAGTCGCTTCTGATTCTATGCCAGAGCTGCACAACTGAAGAGTGAATCGAAGGCAATTTCAGACTTTTAGTAATTTCCTTGCAGTGCAGGAAGATTCGCTCCTGTTTTGTAATTTGTTCCTTTTCTGTTGTTCGTTTTAGTCTGCTCCTTGCTGCTAGACAGATGTGCGAAGCAGAAACCTTATGGAACTACAACAAACAAACGCCTTTCCCTAATTAATCCTCTCTTTTTGGTTCCTCTCTGTATCTATACTTCATCATTTTCGTGTATCCTTCTCAAGCTCTTTCGGTAATTACCTAGCCTTTATTGATAAGGTCTTCACACATCTTCTTTTCATCGTACTCTTCTTATCAGTGAATCTTCGTTGTTTGAATTGATTCTCTCCGCATTCTTTGGTCCTCGATCGAATATTTGGCTACTCTTCGAAACCTCACATCGTTTTTTACAAAATTTCGCAGCGTTTACACCGACCTTCCGATTTTTCTCTTCCACCAAAGCATCGATCATTCGATCACATTTACTATGTGTTCCTTTTTTTAAGTTATCAAAACAACTGCCGCCTTTGGTAAGCTTTTCTATAAATTGGGCTAAACCTAATGTGTACCTTATGAAGGCAATCCGGATATGGTCCTTCTTTCCGACAACGCATGTCCATTTGAGAAATTGCATCATTATGGAGCTCAGAACTTGCTCGTGTCTATTCGAAGTGCCCAAGTATTCTGTTTCGTCTAGAACTACCGGCAATTCTGTCTTTTTACAGGTTTTCCAATTTAGTTAAATAACTATATTAATAAACACCACGTCACTCACCCCTCTCTATCTCAGTCGCCTTTTCGATTCAGCTTCATGATTCACTGTTAACTTTGCAGTTATTCTGTATGATGGAACTAAGATAGTTAAATTTAGAAATTTTAAGCAGGAGATTGACTTTCGTACTGACCGACTCGTTGGCGCTGCCTCTGTTCTTTTTGTTCATAGAGTATACCATGTATTATGCCTTGATGTTATTGAGTGGAAACCTTTCTTCTTACAGAACTGTTCTCGATACCTGCCTAGGTAGTGTCTATGCATCTGGAAGCAAAAGGATTGTGTCAAAATGCCACTTAATCCAGTTTATAATATTCTTGGTATTAATAGGACGACGATATACACATACGGTGAAATTATAGCTACTAACAATATTGGGTTATCATTCAGAGGATTACCTTTCAATAATCGTCAGGCATTCTTCGTTCACAGACTTGCCACGGCGAATTTTACCTTTCGCCATTTTTGCAATATTTTTATAAAAGCCAGTCATTAGCGCAGCCTGAAGACACATGAGGCGATAAATGTCACACATAGAAGATGAAGAGTAGAGCAGCCACATACCTTGATCAGCGCCACGTCATTCGAATGCACGTTCGATGCACTCCATAAGTTCAGAGCATTGCTTTCGTTGGCAGACTCGAACTCAGAGGCAAATATTTTACGTAATTCTAAAAATTGCATTAATACTTTAAGCGATTATGGTGCATATTTTTAAATTCAAATTCACTGAGGAAAAAGTTAAACATTCCGGCAAAAATCAAAAAGACATGCTGTAATTCAGACAGTTTCAACTTCAAGACTCCAAAGCAAACTCGAGGTTTATTTGGTCGAGGCTTTTAAACGTTGGCACCGGTTTGTGCCAAGGCTTCGTTCTGTCCCCTCTCCAGTCTGTGTTGTAAATGGATTAGACATTCAGACGCAGGGAGAGTGATGAGTGTATCATCATAGGAAATAAGGAGATTACAAGGTTGCTGCTAGTGCAAACAACGTTGTTTTGTTGTCATCTCCCGAAGTTCGAAGTTTATTTAGTTATGCTACAATGTGGGCTGACTAGAGGCAGAAAACGTTTGCAACGAATATGCTATGCATCCAGAGCACAGCGAATTTAAGCATACGACAAAAATTGATTTGTATAATTGCGATTTAATTCCTACTTGTTAGATAAAAATCAGCCTATCCTACTGTACAGGAAAACGATACCGTCAAATAATTGAAATATCCCAGTCCTGGCTGTGGGCAATTCAAATGACATAAAGTATCAGGGCGTATGAACGTGGTTCTTTAGAGGCATAAAATTCAAAAAGTTATTAACGATTCAATTTTTCGGAATAAACGAGAAACTGACAGCACACCCGATACATGGAAGTTCTCAATCAGAGCAAAGACCTTTATTCATCAAGTTTACCCGATGACTAAGCCAAAAAGAATGTTGGCAAAGCACTTCGTAATCTTTCTTTGATAGCATGTAAGTTTGGTATTGAATCAAGCATCTATAAAGCCCTTCGTGTTATAAACTGGAATCGTTGAAATGAGGGAGAAGACGGAACGAAGAACAGTATGGTATAGGGTACAGTCAGTAAAGACCAGGTTACTCTTGTAATAACCTGTTATCTTGAATGACCTGGTTACATGCGTGTCATGAATGAAGTCGATGCTCTTCCACTCTACTCTATTCCTCGCTTTCTGCCTCCACCAATGATCAAGCAATTTGGCCATCAGATCTTCCCAGCATGTTTTTGGAACTGAATGGACGCTTGTGATTCTACGATACCTAGTTTCTAACCCTGACATCTATCGGTTATCTCTCAGGTGAGCCATATGACCTGCCCATCTTCCTTTCGCGTATATTAGTCCGGTTCATTGTAAAATTCGTGCTCCGGAAATGCAATCCCGGGAAAGACCATACGCATAATTCGCTCCATCGGTTTTTGCATGACTATCAATTTGTTTTCATCGGTCTTTACAGCAGACCAACATTCAGCATTCTGGATCAGTCGCGACAACAGCTGAATCAAATAGTTGCTTCTTTATTCGCATGAGCAGCTCACCGCCGAGTACTGATGTTTTAATATGATTAAAGACGACTCGTGTCACCTTGAATCTTCGGCCGACTTCGCCATCCACGGACTTCATGCGGTTTACCTGACGACCGAGGTATATATAGCTAGTGACTTTCATTGAATTCTTCGCCATTCGCGTAAATATATTCATCGGGGCAATGCTTGTTCTGCATCTAATTTATCATGGAGATGGTTATAACGATAACGCGAGATTCTTCTTGCAACTACTGGATCTTCTGTTAGAGCTCCTTCTAGCCATTGCAACGACGGTAATATTGCCTTATTCGGTGCTTCTTATATATTAGACTAAAAACAATCTTTCGAAATATCACAAACGGGTGAATAGCTCTTAAACGTTTGACTCACATACTCACATGTTACTGCAGGAAACTGACGTTTCGAAAAGAACTAGGCACCTTAAATCACATAAAATTAACTTTGCATAGCTTATTATAACTTTAAAGGCGAGACGAACAGGATCCGAAACGTCAGCAGCTAAAAGTTTGATGATAGAAGTAGAAAGCACAGAACGAAAGAAAAATGGAAGAGAAGTGACTTGAGTCTGTCGCTCACAAAAAAGAAGATAAGTCGGACGACATGTTAAAGAAATACTTGTTCACCTGTTTTTGAAATTCCCAAATACACAATCGTTTTCAAAATAAAGAAAATAGGTACCATATAAAGGGTAATTCATTACATCAAGGCGTATAGACTTCTAGCCTTCTATTCTCAGGTTAGATAATTCATAACCTGCAAAATGCGTAACAGTATTTAAATTTTACCTACGAATTGCCGCATGCCTGCCAGACTGATGGAGTTCGCCTTGCAAAATGGTTCTGATTTGCTCGTCCCTGAATTCGACAGGTCGCTGATAGCGCGACATAAGTTAATCAGAGCGATATGCATGCTACGACTTGGCCCAGACAAATAAGACAAGATCTGCATAGGAATTAAAAATAACATTGCATCACAGAAAACAATATCTATCCCTGCACTTGAAGAAACTATTTTAAAATCTTTGCCTAACGAATAACTGCATCACAGATAGATCTTTCCTAATCCTTGAAACATGCCCATGCCATTTGGCCCATTTAGCCTCCAGAGAGAGAATCTGCTGTAAAACCGAAGCATCTACATGAAAACATCAACACTACAACTCCATCATCCTAGGTCATCATAGCATTGATTTATTTAGTAATATGATGCAGGTGCTAATATAACATGGATATGCTTAAATACCCGCCTTTCACAACGAGGAGTAAGGATCCGTGCAATCCGCGACGAAAGCCGATGCTTGGTGGAGTTAAATGGTCGATTTGTTGGTTTAGCCGTCTTTCAAAAACCTCATATAATTAACTTCAAAAAATCCATTCCTTAACTTTTTTTAGCCAACCACTTGATATCACCCCAGCTAATCCTGTAGGATACAGGAACCTGAAAAACGAAATGAGATTTTCATCAATGAGGCGCATTGAACCTTTTCTAACGGGTAAAAATAGAGTGACCGGTTGAGGCCAAAAGAGTAATCGAATGGAAAACAAAACTAACTCAGAACCTACTGTGACTAGATTACCTTAAGGGTGTACATTTAATAATGGAAACAATCCTAAACATATCCGAAGGTCCATCACACACGATCATCATCTCTGGCAGCACGACGGACCTAACTGTATACCTGTCAACCAAAAAGCTGGCACGTCTATAAAACAACTTACTTCTGTAAGTTTTGCTTCCTGGTGAGGTATTAGTTCAAATATGTCGCTTTTTAACTCCAATACCGCAACCATCGAAATCAATGGTTCCAAGCACCTAAAAAACTCTTCTCTGAATAATTATCATGAAAGCCCATTACTTTTCAGAATACGAGTTATCACTGAAAGCGGAGGTGAATCACTCTATATCCTTTCTGGACGTGCTGATGAGGACCATAGCATGAAGTTTCCCTCTATCAGAAATCAACTCACTACAGTCGATCCCATGGCGTCATGTGTGTCTCCCAGTTTACTTAAGAACGTTGTGAAAAACGCATTTAAGAGCCCAAGAAACCTGCACTAGCACTTCTGGCCTAGACGTCGAGATTCAACAAAGACTTCTAAAGAACTGTTGCCGAAGAAGGATTCTTGATGAAGAACTTCTGCACCCCAGCTCGAACTTAACGATGCTCCATTCATGTGAACCAATGGCAATTTCACCGTTCATACCACAAGTATCTCAGTAAATTAGGAGGTACCTTAAAGACACGGAGTTTCATGTTTGCTACAAGACATTGGACAATAATTTATTCAAGAAGTAAATGCCCAATAACCTGGAAAAGGTATTAAATGTTGTATATAACGTCGTGACGCAGACTAGGATAAGGTGTCACCGGAATTTGAACATCCGGAACAAAGAGCACCTTTCTGCGGTCCGCCTCGGACAAACCAATTCCGGTATTGCCCAATATGCGATCACCGAAGGGCACTCTTCACTCAGACCAATGTATCTGTCATAGACAAAGACACTGTAAATTAGGTCTGCTGATAAGGAGGTCCCTGCATATTCTGGCAATGAAATACCCCATGTGCAATGAAAACACTTTCATGCTTGTTCGTCACAGCTGAGACACAATCAGAAATTTAACATGCAAATCAGATCAACATAACAAAGATCCTATTTCATTTTTAATGTGACCTTTGCTATGTGTCTGCTGGTTAAAATTCTAGTGAAGTGTTTAAGAGCCTTTTGTATGTAAGATGTGCCAGCTGAAAAAATTTTAACACTGTTCGCTTGCTGGACAAGAGTGCCTTCAAACAGGCATTTGTGCTTAGCTCAGAATGATTATGTTACGGTCTATGTAATGAAACGCATTGGCAATAAAGGTTTTACCATGCGTTGCATTTGGTGCTCTGAACCATAAATCATTCAACCACTTACCTAATACTTTTCATTACTTCTTTTCTACATCAGTTATGAATCAGAAGAACCCAAGAAATGAACCACGTGGTTTCCATATTGCTGCCAGACGAAATAACGCAGAAAATCCAGTTAAATCTTTTCTGTGATAAACTTTTACAACGCCGTGGGAAAATGAAAAAAAGACACCTATTACACCCATGAAAAAGATCAAGGAACCAAACCGAGTTTTAAGGCAACGCCCGCTGCTCATCGTATTTACGCACTGAAGATGCAAAAATACTACGTTCTGGCCCATTTAACTTTGTTCTAAACCCGTAGATCAAATGGACGTTGCCATAACATGGTTAGTCCAATATGATATAGATGTGTCCCTATTTATATGCCGGAAAATGAGCAACTGTTCTCACCTCTTATCTGTGGTGATAAACCAGTTTGATTGCACTGTGCAATCTGCTCAGGATCCACATATCTTAATTATTATTACAGATATGGTCAAATTTAAAACAACTTGAATATATATGCAACAGAGGTAAAATCTTTATTGCCAACGCGTTTCGGACCGTAGGCATCATTAGGGCTGAGTACAAATACCCGTTTGAGGCAATTATATCCAACAAGCGACATGTTGAACGATGAATCGTCTATCTGTGGAACAGTTTGATTAAAATGATTTTCGTACCTCATATGCGAGGCTACCGCTCATAGGTCTATTACTACTATTATTATTAACTGTTAAATTTCCTTGAAATGAATTCATCGAACGCAATGAAATGACAAATATGCATCACATGATCAGATATCGATTTTCTGCAAATCATTTGGACCGTAGGGGCAATGATTACGATCGTGCCAAAGTAAATTGTCAAATGCCGTCATTTCTGGTTCTGAAATTCGATGGTGTGATTAAAAGATCCCAACACACTTTCTTTCTAGGTGAAACGGATAAATGCCAGAGCTTCAATCTTTTCACTCAAAATATTGTTCTGCTGGCTAGATCTGCCTCAAAGGCACGAATATCATGACAAGTGATCCTCACGTTGCTGTTGTCTATTTTCTAAGACGCGAACTTAGATACGGGTATTCTTGAAATCAACTTACTGTCTTTCTTACAACTTCCTATTGTATTCCACTTAACATAATCTGCACCCCCGCCACTAACATGTGTCAGCCCGTCGACTTTTCTTCAGCGTTTTCTGGCTAGTGGTCATTCGTTGCTCTATTCGAAGTGTCACACTTAACGTTGATCCCAACTTGCATCTAACCTCCATCATTGCACCAGGGTTGTTCCGTCGATAGAGCGTCAGACCCAAAACCGAATGGTCCCGGGATTGAGTCCCAGTGAGAAACATGTCTTGCTTTTTCCAAGGTTGATAAATGAACAGCACTCTACTGGAATAAACAGACACCTTCTGCACTATCCCTGCCTCGGAGTTGCTGTCGACTTTGTTTTTAAAATCTGGCTTGTGGAATCGAAATGGAAATCATTGTTCCTTCTTAGTCAAAAAAGAAAGCCAGAAATGGCTCCATCGTGAAAATGTTCGGAAGAACGACATTTGAATCGCTACATTGTGTTTCTTTCCTTTCTTTAACCCAGTCCAATTGATTCAGAGAAGTGAAGCACTAGAGGAGATTCTGGCCATGGACAAAAACCACTGCTGAGTGCCGGGAAAAGCTTGATAAACCTGCTGAAGAGGATTTCTGTACCATTACTGTCTCTTACGAGAAGGCGACTTGCAAGTAAGCCGAACTGCACGTTCGTCCGTCTAAAGTTAACATCACAAAAACAAAACTAATGAACGCTGCTAATACATAAAATAACCAAAATAATATTAAACATTTTTGCCTGAATTATCTGCATGTATACTTATTTTATTTCAGCCAAAGAAACGTTCGACGAATTCATTATAAATCAACAGTTATCAAGTCGTACTGCCAGACCCTTTGACACGCACACATCAATCTAAACCGTTAGAAACAGGAGATCACCTTGGCATCTCAAAAGATCCCATACATGGTAGATTTCCATCTGCTGGGCTCAAATCACAAATCGTTACATCCCTTTCCACCATCAGCCATCACAGAAAAACTGCAGAGTTCAGTGAATAACCGAACTAAAAAATATAAAATATTTACCCGAATGCATTGGCGTAAACGAGTGCTCGCGAAAGTTGTGGATCACAGCTAAGCAACGCCATTCTTCGGCCAAGGGGAGTCAGTTGGTTTCCAGCGTGAAAAGCGCCGAGTTCAACAAGCAAATGCTCTGCAGCTAACACTGCAAGTGTAAACATGATCTCGCGAAATGCGGCCGTAAGATAAAATGCCTACGATGTTTGTCATCTGGAGGATCCATCGAAGTTTTCAACAGTTCAACGGGGTCGCAAGATTCGAAAAACAACTAAAGCATCAAATAATGTGCACAAAGGGTGAAAGGGTGATGTAACCATCGCACTTAACATGGGCAGACAAAAATGCGCAAGTCTATATATTTATAATATATATGCGCATATGTGCACGTGATCGCAATCTCGCCAAAGCCTGTTTCAGCTAAGGTATGATCAGTTAGTGACATTGTCATTTCTTAGGCTTTTGGTCAAGATACGTGGGACAAAAATTATTATACTAACGGATGTTGCACTTGGCAATAACTAACTATTGTTAATGTCTACCAAATCTCTGATGAAGTCCCTTCATCTGTGCTGCCAACTACGCCATCAGAAGGCGTATCCGTTTCTGGTCATCAGGCCAAGATATCGGCATGAGTTTAAGAAGTTATGCATCAAATCTGACTTATTAAGAATCTGTGGTAAATCGTATAAGTAACTTGATGTTCATGCACAGACAAAGAGCCGGACAGGTAAAGGATCTGATCTAGCCTCTTCCAAATCAGAATCTACAAAAACAGTGACCTTACAATGCATTGTCGCTGGTTTATAACTGAGGCAACATGATGCAAGTCGTTGAATCCTCACTTCACCTCACCAGAAAATTCAAATGATCCCTGCTATGAATCTCCCACAAGGACCTCATAATTAACGGAGAAACATTCAAACAATATGACCTCCAACGCCCACTCTTTAAAAACATACAAAAACGAAACCTGTGATGTTCTGGCCATGCTGTTAGGAGTAATGGCGACCATCAACTGAATTACAGCACAACATAAGATTGTAATTCCGTGAGAAACAAAAGACAAGGCCAAGATAAAGCTTGATGATATCTAGAAATGGACAAAACGACCACTGTTCATGTCAAGAGGATACGGGGATAAGGGGTTATAAATTGTACAACCATATAGTCTACTCTATGGCTTAAAAAGAATCACCATTTTAAAGGACTCTAGCTTTCACAACGGGCAGGAACCATCAATCATTAATGAATTCACAAACGTAATTGAAGAGAAAAATATGGCTTAGACATTTTCGACGCAAACTGCATAAGATATCCTCTATATTTACGAGGAACGATTGCTTACTTTGGTTAAAAGCAGAATGTACTCCAGTGAACACAGCTGCAATTGGGGCACATCGCGATCAGCTAAACACAGAGATGCAAAAGTTATCACTGGCATTGACGTATGCATATCTGTATGCATATCTAGCTACCGAATTGTTCATACATGGCACGGGTAAACAAGTGGAAGCATTCACCGTCCATTACCCTGCCGGCTCGGCCCTTTCTCCGGATTTGGGAAGCTCGGCTCGCCCATTCAAATTCGTAGTTAATTCCCTATACAAAAAACAACATATATGACGATGTAAGCAGAAGATCAAGGCCAAAACGTACGTGCTGCGGTGAAGAATCGCTTGCAATGCGTCTCAGTCCGGCGTTGACAACGAACCGGACGTTTTCGATGGACAATGACGTCTCAGCAACGTCTGTAGCCAGCACGATTTTCCTGACGTCTTTCGGTGCCCTTCAATTTTAGCACACCGTTTCCTCACTCACAAAACATTATTAAGATTATACACACGGTTTGAAAATCTTTTCCTGCTCACT